AAGCCGCATCTACCCGAAGAAGGACATCCGAGTGCGTGTATCAGGGGACACGCAGCTGCACATCTTGCAGTACCGGCTACGGCGTAGTATCGGACACAGCAACAAGAGGCCCACGAAAGGCAGGAAACGACCGAAGATATCCAACAAATTTAAAATAGATCTGGCTGATTAAGGAAATGTTTATTTTGTTTTAAGTGAGGTGAATCATCCATGCAAGATATTTGTAAGTTTTTATAGTCACGTTGTGGTTTGCGAACAATTTGGGCTTCAAATTCGAAGGTATTAGGATTGTTTGAATAGAAAAACTCGTGGAACAATAGACTAAAGTGTTTGTTATACCAATAGGACTATTGTTTGTAAACGATTTTATTTGCTTTTGCAAACAAAACAACATGTATATAGTTAATATGTAAGTAACTAAGTACATAACATAAAAAAGGATATATGGAGAATGGACTTGTAAATTAGTTTTGTATGTAATAATGTAAATTTTATTACCAACGAGAGAAAGCGAAGAAACTAATGATTAAAGCTAAGAGAAGATGTGTGAAGCTGTGAATGGCTCTTTTCATTTTTTCCCCTAGATGTTCTGAATTGCCGTTGTTTCTTTCCATCACTACGTAAGTATCTGCGAATATTCTGGATTTAACAAATAAAAATGTTTATATACAACGATAAGTAATTGTATTTGTATCGTATTGTCTTTGAGTATCAATAAAGTACGACTAAATCGTACTTTCATACTAATATTATAAATGCGAAAGTTTAGATGGATGGATGTTTGTTAGAGTTTGTAGCCTAATCGACTAAACGGATTTCGATGAAATTTGGTATAGGTGTAGGATATAGTCTGGAAGAACCTATAGCGTATTCACTTTTGTTTATTTTAATCCACGCGGACGGAGTCGCGGGCGAAAGCTAGTAATCTGATAAAGTCATATGCGCAAAAACCCAATGTCGCCGATGATAATTAAAACAGGAAAATGACAAGAAAATAACTCATAAACATCACGATACATCGAATATTTCGAATTCTTCAATCGAAGTAAGTGGTTTTTCTTAATTGGATTTTATGGGAAGCAACAAAAACCATATAAGTTGTTCCTTTAATTGACTGTTACTTAAATCTCAATTGATACCCACATTAGCAGAAGAAATATAAATTCATAAATACTATAAAAACATAAAACTACTGCATCAAACAGGTTTAGGGAAATATCGCCACAGAAATATCCTATAACTAACTTTTAATATAAATGTGAACTGTGCAGTGCCAATATAAACATTTTATGTAAAAATGTTTTCGTTGAAATAAATTTAAAAAAAAAAATATCGTTCATGCAGACTGGTATACAATAAAGTAGTTTTTAGATCAAAATAATTTTGTTAAAACTTCTTTCAGAAATATTTCTCTGATAGTATTTTTGTGAAAAAATTGTCAGAGTTTACATTTTTGGATGCATTGCATCTACGATTGGACTTCCATTAAAAAATATTTCCGTTTCGGTCTACTTTAGTTCCGTTTTCACACTTAATTTTAACTTTAGCAAAAAGTTTCCGGGAACAAAATCTGGCAATCTTTATTAATATGGATATAACAAAACCACACGATTAAATACTAGGAAGTAAGATAAAAAGAAATTGCATACGTCACTTTGAGGCTCATCTCATCCAGGGATTCCCAAGGCCGGTAAAGCCACAAGGGAAATCCGATAGAACCCGTATTGTTAACTTATATTCATTTCGTCTATAGATAACCACATGATTCAAAGAAAGACAATTGTTGTTTGTTTTTTAAATGGCCAATATGGGGAAATCTAGCGTAATTAAATATACAGGATAATTTATATAATGCGTAAATTCTTGCTTAAAACTGAATTATTATTTGTAGTTTTACCCAACTGATGAAGGAAAGTGATGTCTTTTTGAGTTTGTTATACCAATTTGACCAATTTTGAGGAATCACGAGATATGTGGAGAACCAACGAATAGGTTGTTATCTTCCCCGAAGTTCAGAGCGCCAGGCTAATAGAAACAGCACAAAAAGAACGCTAAAGCTATGGCTATAAGCTAATAATAATTAATGCAGAATATATTCCATTTAATGACTTTCAAACTAAGTACAGACTTTTTATATTTACTTTCTGGATAAAAGTAACCCACATCTACAATATTGCTAAGGATGAGGATATTAAAAAGGGAGTTTGTTGACGAAAGCAGGCGCCCACGTAAATTTCTCATGCGTAAGCACCTAAGTACAAAAATATTTTTCAAGTCCACTGTTGTTTCATATTAAGATGCACGTTTCTGAAATTTCAACCTTATGCACTACTACTTTTAAGTCGTATATACGAAGTACGGTTATTATCAATTTGCCGTTATATTGTATCCGTATAATTTCATTCGACGTCACCAGGAAATACGTCAAAGACTATAGTTGAATGACTATAGTGGAAGAAACACAAACTCGAACTACGAGAAAAGTATGACTGACTTCCTTGAATTCCGTCTTATTGCTTTATGCGGTAATACTTCCAAAGAATAAACGTGATTTAATGAAATAATTACGTTGTTTTAAAAGGTTTTAACAATAACATAACCACAGGATTTAGAAAATGTTGGAAATACAATTAACTAGCGCGTTTCTTTATGTTTGAGAAATTTTTGCAAGATGTTGTTATAATGCAAAATATCCATACATTTAGGGAGAACCGAGAAGAGATGAGTTGTAAAGAAGTAAATTAGGAATGATTTAAAAGCAAATAAGTCAAAAACGACAAAAATCTAAATGAAAAATAAAAACAATTTTGTACATCAAGTTACAAATGGTACTGGCAATTCGTAGCAAGAACTTTTAAAATCGCAACGTTTTAGCAAAATTTAAAAACGAATTTGGCAACACCATGAATAAACGTCAAATCTATTCCAGTTTCTCGTCTCCATCCTCCGTCATCATATGAGGGGAGCGGGCCAAGAGGGTGTGGGGTATTGTAAACGTATAGTAGATAATGAATGAGTTTGAATCTATCGCGATTAAAAACCATACGAGTGTGATAGTGCGTGGTTCCCTAACATATGTTTTATAAACTGTGTTCACTTAATAATAAGGAAGCTTAGTTAAAGAATTTAAAAATGGTTAAGTTATTAACGTATGTTATAACTGTTTTATTAAGTTTAGTGTTTGTAAATACAAAAAAGGCAACTGTGGAGTTCTATGAAGAAAAAGTAAGTGCAGCCAAATTTTATACACTGCAATTTTTAAATATTTATCTTATTATACTTATTTTTAAGGTCAAGTAAAAGGTGAAACTTACTAAACAATTTAAGTTATGATTAAGTAGACACCTTGTGTTACAAAATAACTTTCTATTCTTAGAAGTTATTTGAACTTTCAGTACCACCAGAAAATTATGAAACTTTAGATTAGATAGTAGTAAATATTACAAATTAATTAAAATAGGAAATAACTCTGAGACTGCAAGGTTCATGTTAGAAAGGCAATATAACAAGGCTATAGAAGACATACATGACTGAATGTTCAGAACTTAGAATTGCATTTATAAGAAATGCTATGGATAGATAGAAACTAGAGATATGTTTATAATTTTGCCTTAATTCTGTTACATCCAAAGGAATTTATATGGTGGGAAATATATTCCCCTCTATCAGTCAGATACTATTTTCTATTACATACTCTTTAAGCGCCCGACCTATTTTATTACTGTAATCAAATATAATAATTTATTATTGGTATAATTTAAAAAAAAAATTTTTGCGAAAATCAAGTTTTTATGTTTATTACAAAAATAGTAGTACAACAAAGTATTTTTTACTTATAACAAATATCTTATTTTATTGTTTACAAATGTCACTGAAATAAATGAAGTTGAGAAAAAAAATCATGATGATGAAAATATTGCCTCCAACTTATAAAGGGTTTAAAAACAGAAATAATTATTGAGCATAAAACTGTTACTCGGTACTCAATACGTACCTGGTAATGTTTACATACTTAAAAATGCATTATATAAATGAATTTACATATCAGCTTTACTACTTTCTTTTTTTTTTTTATTATCTGAAAACTTAACTAACATGTGTATACAGATGTTTTAACAATACAGATAATTCCCATTAAAAAAAATTATAAATGTTGCAGGCCTTCCATGAAGCGAATGACTTAACAGACAGTGATATAAAAAAAATAGCAAAATTATCAGATCAAACACATTTTAAAGAAGTATTAGATGAAATACTCATACCAAGAGTAGTTGGAACACCTAATCATGAGAAAGTTGGCAACTTTATTGTGAAACAGATGAAAGATTTAGGCTGGGATGTTACCGAGGATATCTTCTCGGATAAGACACCTGTATTTGGGATGTTGAACTTTAGGAATATTATTGCTAAGTTAAATCCTGAAGCGGAGAGGTACTTAGTACTAGCTTGTCATTACGAGAGTAAATACACAAGGGAACATGTGTTTGTTGGTGAGTTTTTTTACTTTTTTTTTATAACGTGGCAAACAAGAAAGTGACCGCCTGAATCCACCGAAATAGAAAGCGACCGCTGCCTATAAACATCTGCAATTGCAGATGCGTTACCTACCCTTAATTGACGAAGGAGACGCACATAAAGAGGACATTTCCCCTTCCTATGCATCCCCTCCACCGTCAAATCCACTTTTCCTTCCCATCCTTTCCTCTTAAGAAAAGAG